CATGCGGCTCCAGAGCCGCGGGTTGCCGACCCCTGTCCTAGAGTCTGGAGGAAGAATGGAGAGGCAAACAATCCAAGATGCTTGAATTCCAGCGGAGCCATGTCATCTGCTGGTGTTGGTCTACTGTGCTTAATTAAATCCAGAGTCAACGCAGCAGTCTACCAGGACATTTTGGAGCACTTCATGCTTCGTTCCGCAGACCAGCTTTATGGAAAGGCTGACTTCATTTTCCAGCAGGACTTGGCACCTGCCCACACTGCCAAAAGTACCCAAAACCTGGTTCAATGACAATGGGATTACTGTGCTTGGCCATCTTGGCCAGCAAACTCAACTGACCTGAACCCCATAGAGAATTATTGCCAAGAGAAAGATGAGAGACATGAGACCGAACAGTGCAGAAGAGCTGAAGGCTGCTATTGAAGCATCCTGGTCTTCCATAACACCTCAGCAGTGCCACAGGCTGATAGCATCCATCTCATGCCACATTGAGGCAGTAATTCATGATTATACATTTTAGAGGTCGGACATCTCTCTATTTAAAATCCTTGTTTTATTCATTTCATGTAATATTCTATTTTTCTGAGATTTTGAAATTTAAATTAGGGTCTTCATAAGCCGTAAGCCATAATAATCAAAACTGTGATTGATATCTATCTATAATATAAATCTATCTATCTATCTATCTATCTATATATATATATATATATATATATATATGCTTGAAATATCTTGCTTTACATGTAATGTGTTTATATCATATATTAGTTTGACCTTTTCAGTTGAATTAGTGAAATAAATTAACTTTTGCACAATATTCAAATTTTTCAAGTTTCATCTGTATATAGTGAATAGCAATAGCAAATTACATTATTTTTCCAGACATTACACTCATGCACTGGATCTGCAGATGATTGAATATAATTTTGACATGATGGGCTAATACCTACCTACAGTAAATAGGGGCCTGAAAACTGAAAGCTCTGTCTTGCATTTTACTTTTTTGGAAACTTTTGGAATCACAAATAAGTGTTCAAGCAAACTGAACTCTAGTTACATATCTACTTATTTTCTCTCTACTCACCTTTTGATGCCAAACTTACTAAACGCTCCACCAGGTCATTCCTTTTAATCACTCTCAATACCTCAATTGTTTTCTTCACTAAGTTTTCATTGTAAGTCTCCTTCATTTTATCCACTGTGTCCATTATGTTTGCTTTTTCCAAATGTCTCTTTGGGATTGGAGAGAC